TACCTCTCAGTATTTTATGTCGTTATCATATCATCCCTATCTCTCCTGTCTTCCAGTGTCGTCAGGTCGATTTCCCTTAACCACTCCTCCTAGGACATACCCCTTAGTTCCTGGACTAGTCTTGTTGCAAACCTTTGCACCTTCTCTAGTTTTCCTTGGCTACGGGAGGGTTCCAAACTGGCGCTCTGTGTGTGTGTGTGTGTGTGTGTGTGTGTGTGTGTGTGTGTGTGTGTGTGTGTGTGTGTGTGTGTGTGTGTTCGTGTGTTTGTGTAAAAATAATCATACAGCATCAACGACGAAAAATGAAAGAGGGAGTCAGAATTAACTGAAATCCAGAGAAATGAGCACTACAAGACTGACGAATGTAATTTAATTAAGCTAAAGCAAACAGACAACGAAAGGCATCAGATTCAACTCTCCCCATGCATTTCCACAAGAAAATTAAAAGATTCCACAATATTTCATATTTACAAAGACAGTCTACCCTCCTGCTCATTCTCCCCTTCAAGTTCAATTATATACAAACCACTTCCACCGACAGGTGCGATATATATCAGTGAACTTGCTGACTTTTGCACAATGCGATATATATCTATGGACGTGTTGACTTTTCCAAACAGTGTCATTTCATATCGCACCACAATGCTGTTGCTCTGTGCTATTTTACATTACACCTACACCATTCCCACAACAGTGCTTGGTCACAAGAACAACAGCATGAGCAGCGGTGCCTAGCAACGGAAACAGTAATAACAGTAAGAGCACCAGTTCCTGACAAGATATAATGGTATGAACAACATTTAGAGCAATGATGCCTAACAACAACAGGAGGAACGCAAGAGAAACACTGCAGGCAAAAAAAAATGACAAGAGCAACAGTGCATTACAACAGTAACAAAAGTAATGACAACAGTAAGAGGAATAGCAACAGCAAGAGTGCCACATCCGATAACAGAAAGCAGCTTTAGCTGATAGCGAAACAACCGAACTTGACAAGAGAAATGGCAGGTAATGGCATGGTACCATGTCTTGCAGGCGGTGCGAGCAACACTCATCCTCATTCCTCTGCTGGGTCTACACTACATCCTCATCCCGTTCAGGCCACCGAAGGGATCTCCTGGCGAGGGCGTGTACCTCGTAGTGTCTGCTGTTGCAGCCTCCTTCCAAGTAAGTAGATTTTTCCCATCTCAGGGTTTAGCTAATTTTTTTCCTTTCCGGGCATGTCGATTTCCATTCTAAGTAGGTCGTTTTCGGTTCTAAATAAGTCTTTTTTTCCCTTCCAAGCAAATCGTCTTCCCATCCAAGTAAGTCAGTTTCACTTCCCGATAAGTCGTTTTCCCGCTAAAGCTATTAATTTTCCAACACAAAGGAGCTGCTTTCCAGCCATGTTAGACGTTTCAGCATTCAAGTTAGTTATTTTTCATCAAAATGAGTCGTTTCTTTCATCCAAATGAGCCCTCTTCTTACCCAAAGGAATCTTCCTACGTGAAGAATTTATCTTCCTAAGCAAATAAACAACTTTACTATGCAACTGAAAAAAAAAGACTGGATATGAATCGCTTTCCCACTCCAGTAAATTGCTTTCCTACTTGCAAAGAATTATAAATTTCTTAAATAATATTGTAGGCCAGCAGATACAGAGTTCTTGAAATAACCATGTAACTGATCTCAAATTCTGTACCTAAACTGTTTAACTAAATCCAGATCATATGATTGAACCCCAAACCGTGTGACTGAGCTCAAATGAATTGGAACAGAGGACTGAATCACAAGAAACAGTAATCATTGCTTCTCAGTTCTAAGATTTAGTATTAAAGTTTAACTGAGTTGCTCTTGACTTTTTCCAGGGTCTTGGAGTGTCCCTTCTCTTCTGCTTCTTCAACGGAGAGGTAATGTATCCCTTTTTCAGTACATCTGGCAGTATCACACATACGTAGAGTGCAACTTGTATGATGTATCACATGCTCAATGTATCAAGCGTCATGTATCACCCATTGACTGCATGTGGCATGATGTGCTACCTATTAAGTGCTTCAGGTTTCGTTTTTTAAAGGACTGTGTTTTTTGTTTTTTGGGCATGAGAATATGCTATAAAATGCTTAATTGATTTATAGTAATATGAGTTTGGAAGATATAGGCATGCAGTTTTTGGAATGAGAAAGCATTACATAGTTTTCACCAAGTTGCAAAAACTGGGTCTAGTATGACGGCCTTCAACACAAAACCATTAAATGTCTCATAATCCTGAAGAAAATAAAAACGCTTAAGAACAAACTTTCATTGAAACAGCATTTCTCTCTGTGTAGAGCTGTGTCAAGTCAACACCTGATACAGTTCTATGCCGGGCGAAACGTTTATTCCCAAAAAAACTAACTTGACGAAGCTTCAAAAAAGCAAAACGTTGTTTCAATGAAGTTCTGTACAAAACAAAACGCTTTCCCAATAAAGGCTTGTTTTTGTCTTTCTATTATCGGCAGCACTCTACTTGCATTCCTAAATCCTTTTCCTTAAGTTACTTCCTGACTTTAGGTTAACTCCTGACTTTAAGTTACCTCAAGACCTTAAAACATTCCCTGAAGTAATTGGAAAGTGTTTTCCTAAACAGTTGTTTCCTGCTGGTTCCTCAAGATCCCTTCAGGAGAAAACTGGTGATATAAAAGTGGAAAGAATACTAATACAGTGCAAGAAAACAAGTCCTGAACCGGACTCTTTACCCTCCCATCCCACTAATGAATCCCAACTAAGTGAGCAGAGTTAGGAGACAGACGATCAAGTCTCCACCATTCTTTGTGCTGGAAATAGAGGCACAAATTTCGTGTAATAAGATCCTTTAATGGTAACGTTTCTCCCGCTCAGTGGGCTTTTAGAAGTGACTTGAAAATGCCCAGCGCGTGGGCGAAATGTTGTCATTTAAGGATCTCATTACACTGCTCGTATTTTGTACCGCTTCTCTCCGCTCTTTGTGCTGAAAGAAAAAAATTTTTTATTTTTTTATCTTACATAAATATGTATTAATGAATACATTTACTTCTAAGTATTTTCATTAGCAATTGATGTTAATATGTGGCGACTGCTCCTCAGGTCGCGTTCGTTCTCTGTTTAGCAAAACTTTTCATACATAATCTCACCTGATAATATCCATGCCTATAACGGAAAGTAATTTATTATCTATGAATGTCTAACATTTCTCATACCGTTGTTACTGGATTTATATCTGATCAAGTTCTTGTTGGATGTATAGCTGGTGGATTATACACAAAATAACTCGACTTTTTGCTTGTAATTAATACTAACACAGCAAGATCTGCTGGCTTATATATAGTGTTAGAGTGTTAAAACCTTCTGAGTGAGATCCTTCTGATTATTGTTGTCATTATTATTATTATTATTATTATTATTATTATTATTATTATTATTATTATTATTATTATTATTATTATTATTATTATTATTATTATTATTGTTGTTGTTGTTGTTTTTATTATTATTATTATTATTATTATTATTATTATTATTATTATTATTATTATTATTATTATTATTATTATTATTATTATTATTATTATTATTATTATTGTTTTTGCTTTATTATTATTGTTGGTGTTATTATTATTATTATTTATTATTATTATTATTATTATTATTATTATTATTATTATTATTATTATTATTATTATTATTATTTTGTTATTATTATTGTTTTTGCTATTATTATTATTATTATTATTATTATTATTATTGAGATGCGACTCCCTGCCAATAAAACTCGGTGAACACACACACACACACACACACACACACACACACACACACACACACACACACACACACACACACACACATACACACACACACACACACCACACACACACACACACACACACACACACACACACACACACATACACACACACACACACACAAACACACACACACACAAACTAAATTAGCTTAATCAGGATTAGAATCTTTTATTTTACTTCAGTACTTCAAACTTTGCTTATAGGATTAGATTCATATATCTATCTCTGTAATGCTTTGCTATAAAAATTTTTCAATCTTTTTTAAATTTTATATCATATTCACTTGTACTACAATCAGGTCTCCACTGACCTGAGAGGAAGTGTGGCTGTGTGAGTAGCTTGTCCGTCTCCTCCATCATGCACACAAAGAGTGGACGGAGGATCGAGTCTCCAACACTCTAGGTGTTGAAGGCAATCGCCAGCAGCCTGACTGTCTAGAGATCGAGTCACAATTAACGGATGGAGGATCGAGCCTCCAACACTCACTGCATTGAGTGACCCTCATACTTTTACTCCTCGGTTAAACATAAATAATAATAGTTATAATAATCCCATGAACACTTGGCAGTAAGTCCATAAAAGCAAAACAACTACGTCTAATAGTTAAAAATACTTTCACGTCTCTGTTTTACATTTCTCCAATCGAAAAAATGTCATCTCTTCAACTATTAAAACCCTTATCAATAATCACTTATTACAAATGTTCCTTTCAACATCACCCTTTCCTCTGTATCTTTCCAGGTGGAAGCAACATTACTGTCAGGGATGGTCACTCTTTTCTAGTGCTCCATAGCAGTTCTTCATTACCTCCAAGTTTACAAAGGGAAGGGGGGAAGCCGTGAACTCATTAAAATTCACATGTATGTTCTCTTTCTCTTACTCTCAGTATCTAGGCAGTGGCTAAACTTTTAAAATGCACACAATATGTCTCTTCTTTCTGAAGTGAAAGATGTTATTGTCGTTTTCTTTCTGGTTTGCTTACTTTTCTCGCATTTATTGACTTGGCCTCTAGGACTAGCTTGGAGGAGAAGCATTAGAACTGCTTGACTCTCTCAACTGGAAGAGGAGCATCTCTCTCTCTCTCTCTCTCTCTCTCTCTCTCTCTCTCTCTCTCTCATGCATATGTCTCCCTCCCTGCTTACTTCACGTTCATCCACAAACAACTAATTCCTAGCATATAAAAGGAGATATATCCTTGTAATGCTACTGACAAACAGCCTAACAAATATTCCCAACCACACAAATGACTCCTGCTTACTTAACTTTAAGGCTCATCCTTCATATTAAAATTAAAGATTAGTCCAACACATTTTTGTTCTCGTTAGATAGGCGAAGCTGGAGATGGTGAGAGTAAACAATATTTATAGTTCACACATGGAAGTTTTCTGGTCGTTTGCCTCAGTCTGAGAGACTGTTGGACGGTGTCGATGAATACATTGCAGCATATTTGGAAGAAATGACAATCTTGCAGAATAAGCTTTTATTGTGGCAACGTTTCGCTCTCTGTAAAGCTTTATGTTTCTTTGACATGATACAGCTTTACACAGAGCGTGTCTTTTCTTTAATACTGAGTACAGGACGACACATGTATCCAGCTTATGCTGCCTTTTGCAGGTCAAGGGTCATGCAAGACAGCAAAGCCACTCTCTCTCTCTCTCTCTCTCTCTCTCTCTCTCTCTCTCCTCTCTCTCTCTCTCTCTCTCTCTCTCTCTCTCTCTCTCTCTCTCTCTCTCTCTCTCCTCTCTCTTCATAAAAACATTTTCATTATTTAGGAAGTAAATGGAAGCACATGTGACAAGGCGGGTAACAGGAACCCGTATAATCCATGCTGATTTTCTTTGACCATATCATCATCAATACTCAATAAAAAAAATACATGCTCCTTTCATATTCAGTGGTAAAATACACGTTGTGCCAGGACACAGCAGTTGTCCTGGCCACAAGTGAGACTTTTCCCACTTCGACCTGGTGGGACTTCGACGTTCGCTAATATCAGGTCGTCAGTCTTAATGAGGGAACTTCTTCTCTGTGTCAATACTTATGAACCTCCTTGCTTGCTCTCCTGTAGAGATAATTACCTACCTAGTTACCTGCATTGTTTCCTTACATATCTACCTACGTATCAACCTTTCTAGGTATAAAAAAATCTTTGTATCAACTTCAATATGTACGAGGCTACCGCCGTATTAATCTATGTATCAAGCAGCCAAACTACGTATAAAGCTACATCTGTATCAACCTATGTATCAACCTACGTATCATGGAATCTACGTATCAAGCTATATTATATATTACAATTATATTAATGTAAAATGCAGTATCGCAAGATTATACCAGATGAACTTCTAATTCTTTGCTGGGAGTAACACACCTGTCAGGGTATTTACCTTGTGTAAATAAAGCTAATGATTTTGGAATCTAATTAAATCTTTTAATGGGAAAAGTAAACAGACACAAAAATAATTATATTTTGTAAAGATTTCTAAACCTTGATAGTACTGAAACTACTGCACACATCAGGTTGCTATATACTTTTCTTAACAGAAATACCCAAATGCAAACTATGGTAAATTATTTATAAGTGAAAAGTTGAATTAATTTTTCATTATTATTAAGCTTCAGGTTCTATATGAGTAGAGATTCCAACAATCTAAGGCAAAGGGCTCTTGATACAAGAAATTGGAGGTACACTTTTCGTCCTTAGATCAAGCTTAACTACCTTCCATTATTCAGACATTATATTTTACCTATAGTTTCAGTATTTCCCCATAAATCTAATCGTAATGATTGTCTCTGCTCTGTTATTTGCCTTATATATGTAGGAACTAATCTCTAATCTATCTCTCATATTCGATAGAAGTTAGTCTCTCTCTTTTATCACTCGCCTTAGATTCAAGCTGGTCTCTAGTGTATCCTACACCTTAAATAAAAATTAGTCTATATTCTGTCACTTATCTTTGAAATAAACTAATCTCTGTTCTTTTCTTTAGTTGGAACTAGTCTTTTCTCTGTTCCTTAATATATATAGGAACTACAGCAACTTCTACCCGTTATCGCTGATGGCAACGATGGCTTATCGTATCTCACATCTCATATGAGCTAGTCTGTTCTGTCTTATGTCATATAGGAACTAGTCTTTTCCCTATCTTAACATTAGATAGGAATTAGTAGCTTCGCTTGGATAAACACTACAGTAGCATCTTTGCCTCACCCCATTGTCTCAAACAAAAGTGACACGCTCCCCCCATTCACTGTATCACATGGTAAAGACGGCAAAGGTAGGACAAAGAAGCTTACGGCAAAACAAGATTTTATTACGCAATGTTTCCCTTTACAAGTCAGCTTTATCAATTTTAGTGAAAGCTCTCCCTTGAGTGAAACGTTGTGTAATAAAGTCTCGCTCTGCTGTAAGTGTCTTTATTACTCTAGTCGTTGATTACTCTGCTTGCCATTATTTAACCTTACAAATATTCGCAAAGAAGCAGAACTCAGTTTGTCAAAGAATATTTCTGAGTTAGAAAAATGCTAACCAAAGTATTACTTACTCTAAATTTGTATTTTACTTATTTTTGGATTACTATTTTTTTTAGTTAGTCTGTGTGAATATATTAAAATTATCGTTATTATCAACTTTGTGTTGCTGTATCATAGGTTAAGATTTGATGTTGCATGCCATATAATATATAATTTCAATTGTTGTACATCATTTCACATTCAGGGTCTTTAAAAAGTATTTTGGAAATGGCATTTGCAAAGTGTGAAAAATCTGTTAATAACTGCAGCTTTAACATTCAGTAATAGATATTCACTGAGATCAGTTAGAGATTTACTCTGACAAGTTAACCTCATAAGCTGCATAAGTTAACCTCTCATATCGTGATAGAGAATATACACCGATAAGTGTGTGTATCTCTCAGTATACACTGAGAATTTACTCTAATTACTATTTTATTCTGTAAATTATTAAAGGTATTAGTAAACAGGTGAAGTGCAGCCTTACCCCCCTCCCCCCCTCCCCCCCCCCCCCCTCCGTGCATTTGACATGATTTAACCCTAAAAACCTAATTTACTTATCACCGCAAAATTTCCATTTTAGATTTGCTTTTCTTCCAGTCTGTGTTACCTCTTTATTTTCGGTAAAAAATATTCATCTTTACATCTCATTTTTGCTCCTTGACAGGTACTGGGCATCTTCAAGAAAAAATGGAGCCAACACAAACTGATGCGAGGCGGACCTAACTCCTACGCTGCCACCACCTTCTCGGTAAGGAGGAAGGAAGACCCAAGGAACACCCAGCAACCTGAGACCCACAGACTCACTCAATATGACAGAGACTTTGACGAACACGGTGACGAGGAGTTATGACGCAATGCCCAGACGTGGGTGTAGGAATTATTCTCTCCGCGTCACACAGCTTGCAACCTTAATCAGAAGCACCAGAAAATAAATAACATAGCAACCCAAGTATCTTTGACAGAGGGGTGTAACGCACACACACACACACACACAAGAGAGAGAGGGGTGGATCGACTGCATTTTTTTGGACTGCAAAAAGGCCTTCGACACAGTTCCTCACAAGAGGTTACTGAAAAAGCTAGAAGATCAGGCACACATAACAGGAAAGGCACTGCAATGGATCAGAGAATACCTGACAGGGAGGCAACAACGAGTCATGGTACGTGACGAGGTGTCAGAGTGGGCGCTTGTGACAAGCGGGGTTCCACAGGGGTCAGTCCTAGGACCTGTGCTGTTCTTGGTATATGTGAACGACATAACGGAAGAGATAGACTCAGAAGTGTCCTTGTTTGCAGATGATGTGAAGTTAATGAGAAGAATCAAATCGGATGAGGATCAGGCAGGACTACAAAGAGACCTGGACAGGCTGCAAGCCTGGTCCAGAAACTGGCTCCTTGAGTTTAACCCTGCCAAATGCAAAGTCATGAAGATTGGAGAAGGGCAAAGAAGACCGCAGACACAATATAGTTTAGATGGCCAAAGACTGCAAACCTCACTCAAGGAAAAAGATCTGGGGGTGAGTATAACACCGAGCATATCTCCTGAGGCGCACATAAATCAGATAACTGCTGCAGCATACGGGCGCCTGGCAAACCTACGGATAGCGTTCCGATACCTCAGTAAGGAATCGTTCAAGACACTGTATACCATTTACGTCAGGCCCATACTGGAGTATGCAGCACCAGTTTGGAATCCACACCTAGTCAAGCACGTCAAGAAATTAGAGAAAGTGCAAAGGTTTGCAACAAGACTAGTCCCAGAGCTACGGGGATTGTCCTACGAAGAAAGGTTGAGGGAAATCGGCCTGACGACACTGGAGGCCAGGAGGGTCAGGGGAGACATGATAACGACATATAAAATACTGCGCGGAATAGACAAGGTGGACAAAGACAGGATGTTCCAGAGATGGGACACAGACACAAGAGGTCACAGTTGGAAGTTGAAGACTCAGATGAATCGAAGGGATGTTAGGAAGTATTTCTTCAGTCATAGAGTAGTCAAGTCGTGGAATAGTCTAGAAAGTGAAGTAGTGGAGGCGGGAACCATACATAGTTTTAAGGCGAGGTATGATAAAGCTCATGTAGCAGGGAGAGAGAGGACCTAGTAGCAATCAGTGAAGAGGCGGGGCCAGGAGCTATGACTCGACCCCTGCAACCACAAATAGGTGAGTACAAATAGGTGAGTACACACACACACACACACACACACACACACACACCGGGGCCGTGTTTAAAGTATGATTGAGAATAAAAAGGAGTTGAAGATAAAATAAGAAATAGAAGTGGGTAGTTTCTCTGATAAAATAACATTCGAAAAATGAAGATATTAATGCGAAATAAGGAATAGTTAGACTACACAGGAGAAAAAACAACAATTAGAGGAATTGCGCTGTTAGTTGCTGCAACTAACATCTGGCTCTCAAACAGTACACGACCTAGACAAGGCAGGAAGGGCATCAAGAATAATACACACTACCACAACAAAACTAATTATCAATTTGGCATCAGTCATGCCCCCCAACCTCACTGGGGGCCATGAACTTGGGGCATAATTCCAGGATACATTAAGAAGCTCCCTATCCCAGCATGTCATGGAATCAACGAGATTACACCTTGCATTCATCATGTATACCTCAGATGTAAAACAGGTTACAACGTCTCCCAGAGACCAGTAGACCTAATCACAGACTGCACTGTATATTCACAGCCAAACCAGCGGCGTAAAATAATGACATTTGAAACCGACATTAAATAAATTAAAGCCAACTGGTTAAAAAAGACATTGCAGAGAGATGAAATCACGATAGTAAGATTCATATTCACCCATAGAGAAACAAACAAATAAATATATATACCCACAATTCAACACCAGAAGTAAAAAAAAATGGAAGAAATGGAAAAAATGGAAAAGGAACCAAACACCAATAAACAGAAAGACCATGGACACACATTTTTCACATTCAAGTTGAGACAGATTGTTGACACTGCTAGTATCTGAATAAAATGTTCTCTGACATACACTACTGATAAGCTGAAGTCAGCCATCACTTATGTCTCAATCATTCGTGCACAAAACTGTATATACACATTAATTAGGAGTATTAAGTAAGCAAATAAAAAAGAAACTCTAATATGCATATAGGATGAACATAGGAAAATAAGGAGAGTTGGCATCTTTAAAGTTTCATACAGATCAGTTTCAGAATCGATTAATGAAACAAGCAGATCATGACAGATAAGACAATAAATAGGAACTTATGCAATCAGTGTATGAAAAAATGCTTTCAATTATGTTAAATAAAGTGCAAATTAATATTTATATTCAAAGAGAACATTTTATTTGTTTTTCCATAAGTCATGTCAATACTTATTATATAGGTTAGTCGAGGCCTTCTACTTGCACAATAATGGGCGTGTCTGAAGTATTGTCTTTGCGCCATGGTGAGCATTTGAAAATGAATGTTATAGTACTATAGTGGACTTCTCTAAATCATGGTTATTTCATCATAGAGAGAATGTCTAGATACATATTATGGCAACATAATGAACATCTCCACCATGCACCCCTTGCCAAGTATAATACTACGACACAAACAACTCAAAAACATTTGTATATTTAAGCAGCCAGTGGTGCTTTGAACTATGAAATAGTCAACAAGCTTCGAGCAATTCTAATTTTGGTCTTGGCCAGAATAACGTCTCTAAACTCACAATGTAAAGACTCAGAACTGATATAAACATATCAGATAAGTTCCCAAATATTAAGAACAAGCAAATCAGGCTGTGAAGAATTCGAAATCATTAATGTCTGTTGTCCTCATCAACAACACACACTATGTTATATACTAAGTGTACTCGGCTACAACATCTGATGGAAGCATTTATAGTCTCATATGGAAGCATTGATATTCTCACCAGTGACACAAGCCATGATACACTTAGGCTTCACACTCACGAGTACACATGTACACAGTTATCATCTATTTCACTGATTAACCTTCTGCCTGCTGCAACTTTACTTCGAGAATAATGTTGCAACACTTGGAAAATTTCTAAATATAAATAACAAACAACCCTGGCAGCTGTGAGCGTGTTAGATAGGAGCGAATGGGGACAAACGGTTTTTAGGACTTGACGTGCTGTTGGAGTGTAAGCAAGGTAACATTTATGAAGGGATTCAGGGAAACCTGTAGGCCGGACTTGATTCCTAGAGATGGGAAGTACAGTGCCTGCACTCTGAAGGAGGAGTGTTAATGTTGCAGTTTTATAACTGTAGTGTAAACATGCCTCTGGCAAGACAGTGATAGAGTGAATGATGATTTTTTTTTTCTGGCCACCCTACCTTGGTGGGGGGCGGCTGATGTGTTAAATATATATATATATATATATATATATATATATAATATATATATATATATATATATATATATATATATATATATATATATATAAAATATATATATATATATATATATATATATATATATATAATATATCGTGCCGAATATGTAAAACTAGTCAATTAGCAAGAACTCATTTAAAATTAAGTACTTTCTGAAATTTTTTCTTATACGTTTAGAGATATATTTTTTCATTAATGTTAATGTAAAAAAAATTAATTTTGCACCAAAAGAATCTTAGAAAACTTACCTAACCTTATTATAACAAAAGCAATTTATTTTAGCATAAGCCAACTAAATATGTTTTAAATGCGTTTACAGCAATTTAATACTAAACAAACACAATCAAATATATATTTTTTCGTTAGGTTCAGAATGATTTTGGCGAAATTATTGCATACACAAATTTTCACTTGTCCTATATGGTAAGATGAGCGTTGCTATTTACGCCAAAATCGCAAGTTGTGCCTATTCGGCACGACATATATATATATATATATATATATATATATATATATATATATATATATATATATATATTATATATATATATATATATATATATATATATATTTAACAAGTTGGCCGTCTCCCACCGAGGCAGGGTGACCCAAAAAGAAAGAAAATCCCCAAAAAGAAAATACTTTCAACATCATTCAACACTTTCACCTCATTCACACATAATCACTGTTTTTGCAGAGGTGCTCAGAACACAACAGTTTAGAAGTATATACGTATAAAGATACACAACATATCCCTCCAAACTGCCCTAACCCAAACCCCTCCTTTAGAGTGCAGGCATTGTACTTCCCATTTCCAGGACTCAAGTCCGGCTATATAAAAATAACCGGTTTCATTGAATCCCTTCACTAAATATTACCCTGCTCACACTCCAACAGCTCGTCAGGTCCCAAATACCATTCGTCTCCATTCACTCCTATCGAACACGCTCATGCACGCCTGCTGGAAGTTTAAGCCCCTCGCCCACAAAACCTCCCTTACCCCTTCCAACCTTTTCGAGGACGACACCTACCCTGCCTTCCTTCCCCTACATATTTAAATGCTCTTCATGTCATTCTACTTTGATCCATTCTTTCTAAATGACCAAACCACCTCAACAACTCTTCAGCTCTCTGACTAATACTTTTATTAACTCCACACCTTCTCCTAATTTCCACACTCCGAATTTTCTGCATAATATTTACACCACACATTGCCCTTAGACAGGACATCTCCACTGCCTCCAACCGCCTCCTCGCTGCTGCATTCACAACCCAAGCTTCACACCCATATAAGAGTGTTGGTACTACTATACTTTCATACATTCCCTTCTTTGCCTCCACAGATAACGTTTTTTGTCCCCACATATACCTCAACGCACCACTCACCTTTTTCCCTCATCAATTCTATGATTAACCTCATCCTTCATAAATCCATCTGCCGACACGTCAGCTCCCAAGTATCTGAAAACATTCACTTCTTCCATACTCCTCCTCCCCAATTTGATATCCAATTTCTTTATCGAAATCATTTGATACCCTTATCACTTTACTCTTTTCTATGTTCACTTTCAACTTTCTACCTTTACACACACTCCCAGACTCATCCACTAACCTTTGCAATTTTTCTTTAGAATCTCCCATAAGCACAGTATCATCAGCAAAAAGCAACTGTGTCAATTCCCATTTTGTATTTGATACCCCATAATTTAATCCCACCCCTCTCCTGAACACCCTAGCATTTACTTCTTTTACAACCATGGTGACATTACACATCCCTGTCTAAGACCTACTTTTACGGGGAAGTAGTCTCCCTCTCTTCTACACACCCTAACCTGAGCCTCACTATCCTCATAAAAACTCTTTACAGCATTTAGTAACTTACCACCTATTCCATATACTTGCAACATCTGCCACATTGCTCCCCTATCCACTCTATCATATGCCTTTTCTAAATCCATAAATGCAATAAAAACTTCCCTACCTTTATCTAAATACTGTTCACATATATGCTTCAATGTAAACACTTGATCTACACATCCCCTACCCACTCTGAAACCTCCTAGCTCATCCCCAATCCTACATTCTGTCTTACCCCTAATTCTTTCAATTATAACCCTACCGTACACTTTTCCTGGTATACTCAGTAAACTTATTCCTCTATAATTTTTACAGTCTCTTTTGTCCTCCTTCCCTTTATATAAAGGGACTATACATGCTCTCTGCCAATCCCTAGGTACCTTCCCCTCTTTCATACATTTATTAAACAAAAATACCAACCACTTCAACACTGTTTTTAACATTTCTGTCATGATCCCGTCAATTCCAGCTGCTTTACCCCGTTTCATTCTTCGTAATGCCTCACGTACCTCCCCCACACTCACATCCTGTTCTTCTTCACTCCTAAAAGATGGTATACCTCCCTGGCCAGTGCATGAAATTACCGCCTCCCTTTCTTCGTCGACATTCAAAAGTTCCTCAAAATATTCTCGCCATCTACCCAAAACCTCCATCTCCCCATCTACTAACTCCCCTACTCTGATAGACGTGCGAGAATTAAATGGGTAAAGACATACACGTACATAAAAGTATAATAATTTTATAATTAATTATAAAATAATTAATGGACTTAATTATTAATAATCGTTAATAATTAATTTTTACAAAAAGCATATATAAATGTCCTCAGGTTCTTGGCTCATAAGTCACTGTGTTGTCTTCTGTTGTATATTTACACAAAACTGAAAGGCTTAGTGTGCCAGTGTACAAACTAAAATAATATTAAATTCACATGTTTTTCTTTATTCAAATATAAATATATTCGAAATTTGCTAATCAGAATCCACTTATATGTAAATTTCATGATTTTCTCAAGCAGCTTAGTCTTTCCTTGCTATTTTTGATGGGCAAATCTCACTTTAGTTAGCTGCTGACTGTACGTTGCTTATATTTAACACTATTCTGCATACTGTGTACTGGCTGTATAAATGTGATTTTAAGATTTTAAATGTATTTATTGTATTCGTTATTTTGTCTATATATATATATAATATATATATATATATATATATATATATAATATATATATATATAAATATATATATATATATATATATATATATATAATATATATATATATATATATATATATATATATTTCTGTATGTTTATCTAGTTTTCTCTCTGTCTCCAGCTGTTCCTAAGACTTTCAAAGACTGCATCTCTCTCTTTCTGTCTCTGTCTCTCTCTCTCTCTCTCTCTCTCTCTTATTTATCTCTGTCATTACGTGTGATCTTATCTCAAGTTTTTAAGCATTTCAGCGTATTTCTAGGTGTTCGTGTGTGTGTTTGTGTGTGTGTGTGTGTGTGTGTGTGTGTGTGTGTGTGTGTGTGTGTGTGTGTGTGTGTGTGTGTGTGTGTGTGTGTGTGTGTGTGTGTGTGTTGCATGTGTGAATTTACCTATTCGTGTGTATGTATAAGTAGTTGCAGGAACACAGCAGTGCTCGTGGTGTCCTTTCTTCAGTAACTAGTATACATTTGTTTATATTTTTCCTTGGGTTTGGCCACGCCTGCGTTTGAAATCATATACAGAGTCTGCCTTCCCTACCTTGCCTTGTAGTATGTTATAGCACTACAATTTTCATAAAGAATTTATTTTTCCCTTGTCCCTAAGGGTAATCTGTGCATTTGACTTTTACTTGAGTTTCCTTGTAGTTTTCCCTCTTATGTCAAACACATTGTATTTCTACATTGTTCGTATTACTGGTCATCTTAAATATCATGACCATTACCTTTTATAATTCCCCTCTTTTTCACAAGAGGTTCAGATGCATTAGTCTCTCCTCATTGTTCAAGTATTTCAGCTCCCAAAATAATTTGGAGGGACTCTTCTGTATATTTTTAAATTTATTTACATTTTTTACTAGCCGAAGGCTCCACGCTGGCTCTACATCTTCAAGTATTGCTACTAAATATAGAGTCTTAATGATTCATTGTTTAGGTTCCTGAAAGCAGTTACTACATTTGTAAATTTGATGTATGCTGCACATGTTATTCTTTTTAGGAGATATTTAAAAATATTAATTTTTTCTATTTATTTCATAAAATAAAGCGAACACCGGTGTGTGTGTGTGTGTGTGCGCGTGTGCGTGTGCGCATGTGTGCATGTGTGTGCACACGCGCGCGCCTGCTGGCTGTGTTTTTCTTCTAAGATCCTAACTCTAACTCATAATCTAGTATCTGTCTTCTCCATCTAAGACAATAGTCTCCTCATTTTGTATATATACTTCCTAACACTATTTCTAAAAATATTCCCTGTCTATCCATTTTCAAAGTCAATGTTTTTAGCTATCTACCCATTTTTCCTAGCACTCACCTCATCCAGCTTCCTACCTACTTGCTAACGCCTTTCTCTTCCAGTTGTCTTACGCCCCACCCGACTTGGTTCTATGGTGTTCAGCCCATTCTCGTTTCCTGCTGTTGAACTCCCACCCTGCTGTTGAAGCTCTCCCTGCTTCCTGCTGGGTAACCCATTTCCTGTTCTTCCTTGCTATATAGTACACAGCCTTCTCATGCTTCCTTATTTGTAGCTCTCTGTCCTTTGTAGTGCTCTACCTTCTGTAGTGATCTGTTCTCTGTATTGCTCCATTTTCTGTAATGTTCCGCCATTGGTAGAACTCGTTTCTATTTGAAGGCTTTGCAGTCATTCTTTATCTTATTCTTCATCATTTATATGCCACAGTTTCTTCTGCCTCCTCTGTCCTCCTTCGCATTATCCATTTTAAGCTATGTTTACCTCTTTCCCTCTTTTACGTTTGCCTCTCATCTCCCACTCCTAATATTTCTACTAAAAAATAATTTTTCCTTTATTTTTGAGAGCAGCTGTATTATTTTCTCTGCTTTCACTTATTGATAATCACTAATAACAGTCGTTATTCCTTACTTAAAGTAACAGTGTTATTTTCTCACATTTTCTCATTACCGTATTTCATTATTTTCATGTTCAATTATCCCAACCTCTTAACATTTCAACAACTTAATTTATCTTCATAATTCATCCATGTTTTCTGTTTGTATATCAGTGTCTTTTTCCTCTCTGTTTTGTTCCCATATTTATGTATTATGCAAAGAATCTCTTGATTTTTACTGCTTCATGGGCCTTCAGTTCTTACTGCTCCTCCTGTCACTGTTTTTCCTGTGTTTACCTCACTTCAGTTTTCTACTGTTCAACCCATCCCCGTTTTCTACTGCATGCTACATTCTAGATGGACACGCTAAATGGACATCCTAGTTTATGTCCTACTGCTTCAAATAATTAAGGTAGGACTGTAGAATTTTCTCTGGTGTATGCAGGAGGCTTTTGCTCGGTAATAACAATAAACTATAAATAATAGAGTAATAAACTGAATGTAACAATAATTACATAATAAAGTAAGTAACCTGAATAAGAAAATATTGAACAATACTGAAAAAAATACTCATTCACATCACTTAATTAAATTAAAAATATATTAAATGAAATTTAAATAAATAAAATAAATTGTATATAAACATCCTAGGCTACTATAAAGTAACAGAAAAAAGATAATGCCATATCTGCAAAATATTAGAGGTTTTGCAATATGGTAATTGTCTCACTACGAGCAAATAATTCCATGCTTAAGTAGTTCTGCACATTTCCTGTATCTACACATGCACACATAGACATAGCTTAGCATCACTCGATAATAAATAATACACAGCCCAGTTTAGAATGGCTAAACCTACAAGAACACACTGCAAAATTTGCATGCCTTGAATTTCAATGCAAATCATGAAAGTGCTTTAGGTACGTCCTCAATAAACTGGTCAAAACATGGACGACTGGTTGGTTTGTTTAGATTATATACTATCGACTACGCGAGTTTTTTTTTTTTTTTTTTTAATGTGCTAGTCACTTCACGACCAGTCAAGGATGTTGAAACACACCCCATCCCTGAGAGGTCCCTCGATACTGGCGAAGGGTTCTTGATGCAAACGTGGGAATTGTCCCATGCCTTGGATCAAATGTAACTGTTCCACTGCCCCACGGGCTTTGTAACAGCTGCGGGATTAACGCTTCACAATAATAATAATAATAATAATAATAATAATTTAATCCCTAAAATAATGATAAAACTAAGTTATCATTGTATATACACTGAGATTCACCTTTCTCGGTATATATACAATGAGACGTCACACTTCTCAGTGTGTATATACACTGAGAGATTTACACTTCATTGTGTATATATACACTTAGAGATTCACACCTTTAATGCATATTCACTGAGAGATTCATACCCCTCAACTAATATACATCGAAAGACTCATAACTTCCCATTTAAATACACGGAGAGACTCACACCCCTCAATGTATATAACCTTGTTAACGTGTTAATCCAGCTGGCATCAAATAATTTCTCACAGCTTTCTCGGGCCATTTGAAGCTTTATTCCTCCAGGGAAAACAGCTACCCAAAGTAATGCAGTTTCGTTCTTAGGTTAAGCCATTTATGCTAGTTTACAGAGCACAAATTTAACCAGTTAGTTAAATATGGTAGGTTAGTTTGGGCGAAAAAATGTAAATAGGAATATATAACGTGCATAAATTTAACTATTTTCCCTGATGTGTGTGTGTGTGTGTGTGTGTGTGTGTGTGTGTGTGGTGTGTGTGTGTGTGTGTGTGTGTGTGTGTGTGTGTGTGTGTATGTGTGTGTGTGTTGTGGGGGAAGCGAATCTAAGTTGGTCTGTTTTTCTATACATATGTATTTTGCTTATGCTTCCTTGTTCAGCCTGACTGTATGAGTTCATTGGGATTAGGTATAGGTAGGTGAACAAGAGTGTACCACAATAGGCTTTCTTTATTATTATTATTATTATTATTATTATTATTATTATTATTATTATTATTATTATTATTATTATTATTATTATATCTAAAGAATATGACCTCGTTGCTGTTTGACTCTACTTAAAATCTAAGTAGTTATAAAACACAATAAAGCTGAAATGAATAAGTAAGAAGAAAGTCTAGAGAGGCCTTTGTTTTTTTCCAGTACTGAATAGAGTTTGTCTGCCAAAATGAGTGACAATGTGTTAGGAGACCTTCGACTGTTAAATTGCGAGGTCACTTTGGGATTGAAGACTAATGGACACCACTCTCAATCGTTGAATTGTGAGGTATACTGGGAGAGGGAAGAGGAGTTTAAAAACTATCGACTACACGAAGTCATTAAGATTGCACGTAGACTGTTCAAAACTAGTTAAGAATTCTGTATTCTCTCTCTCTTTATATATATATATATATATATATATATATATATATATATATATATATAATATATATATATAATATATATATATATATATATCTTGGTATGTATACTCTATGTGTTAAAGTGTAAAACACTGCTGCATTACTGTATCAAAATGCAATGTCCGAACCTGTTAATCATGAGGAATGAAGGACAGCAGTTTGAGTGGCTAGAAGGGTGTACTTACATTTCCTGTAACTGAGAGTCTTACAAGTGTATTATTGCTTACAATAATGCACGGCAAGTTCATAGTTTAGACACCCTTTCCTTAGTATTGAGCTCTGTGAAGTTTCTAAGCGAAACGTCGTCTAAAATAAAAAAAAAGTTGTTTGTGAATTGCATTCCTTAATACTTTCTTGACTGGTTATTGTCCCAGTCACCAGTCAGTTCTGTAGTTATATACCGAGGACCAGAGGTTAAATACAAAGAGAGTTGTATGCCTTTCAATTTGAATACGCTGAAAGTTTACTGTAATCCCGATTTTAGAAATTAAAGAATCCTTGACCGGTTGCGAGCGGGTTACATGCCGCCTTAATGACCCTTTGTTTCATCAATAAGTTTTAAACCCAATTAAGCGAGTATAGGGGGAAAAATGTTTAAAGGGATACCTGTAATAATAATAATTTTATCTTAGGATACACTACTATGTAATGATTCTTTGGAAATATAAACACATATGCAGTATAAAGTGATCCTTTATTGACTACGTTTCGCCCACACAGTGGGCTTTTTCAAGTCACAAACAGATCTACCTGGGGTGGAAGGGACGCGAGTATTTATAGTCAGGTTCAGAAGGCTGAGGTCAGGTGGAGAATGCTGCATCTGATGATGTACCGAGTGTGGTTATAGAGTCTAAAATCTTGGGTAGCTTGGAAATGAGATTGGATAAGTTTGTGAGCAGACCTTCTACAGTGTTCTTCCATTCCTGTGTTCTTACGTGAGATAGCGATGAAGAAGTTTCTTGGCAAGTGGTTCAGCTATGTTATAGAAGCCACTATTCTGGTTGAAGTTGTCGGATGTAGAAATAAGTGATGATTCTAGGATTCTTCGGTATTGGGTGTTGTCTTCTGTGGCGATAAGTCTTGAGTTTCTGTAGTTTATCAAGTGGTTGTGTGAATTACGATGTTGTACACAGGCATTCCTTGTGTCGTCAGACCTGCTTGCGTATTGGTGTTCTGAAATACGTGTTTGGAGGTCCCTTGATGTTTCGCCCACGTATAACTTGTTGCAGTCATTACAAGGGATTATGTATACTCCTGCAGAGGGTGGAAGCTTGTCCTGTCTATCACTGGTAATGTCCTTGATGGTCGTGGTTGTGGAGGTAGATACTTGGAATGAGGTATTGGAAAAGATGTTGGAAACGTGTTTGGCAATGGAGTTGGTAGGGAGGACTATGTATCTCTTCTCGGCAGTGTCTTCTCTGGGTGTCTTGAAGATGTTTAATGCCCGTCGTCTGCAGTCTCTGATGAAGTGACGAGGATAGTGGAGTTCAGAAAATACTTGTTCAAGTATTTTCTAAACTCCACTATCCACGTTTCCAACATCTTTTCCAATACCTCATTCCAAGTATCTACCTCCACAACCACGACCATCAAGGACATTACCAGTGATAGACAGGACAAGCTTCCACCCTCTGCAGGAGTATACATAATCCCTTGTAATGACTGCAACAAGTTATACGTGGGCGAAACATCAAGGGACCTCCAAACACGTATTTCAGAACACCAATACGCAAGCAGGTCTGACGACACAAGGAATGCCTGTGTACAACATCGTAATTCACACAACCACTTGATAAACTACAGAAACTCAAGACTTATCGCCACAGAAGACAACACCCAATACCGAAGAATCCTGGAATCATCACTTATTTCTACATCCGACAACTTCAACCAGAATAGTGGCTTCTATAACATAACTGAACCACTTGCCAAGAAACTTCTTCATCGCTATCCCACATAAGAACACAGGAATGGAAGAACACTGTAGAAGGTCTGCTCACAAACTTATCCAATCTCATTTCCAAGCTACCCAAGATTTTAGACTCTATAACCCCACTCGGTACATCATCAGATGCAGCATTCTCCACCTGACCTCAGCCTTCTGAACCTGACTATAAATACTCGCGTCCCTTCCACCCCAGGTAGATCTGTTTGTGACTTGAAAAAGCCCACTGTGTGGGCGAAACGTAGTCAATAAAGGATCACTTTATACTGTATATGTGTTTATATTTCCATTGTGTCGGTATTTTATACCATTTATTTCCGTAATGATTCTTTGTTTAATGAACGAGCTGTAAAACCTTGCTGGTGTAGCCCAGTGGATGTTTAACTGTTGACTGGGTCATCGTCTTATTAAGACGTGTGTCCAAGAGACCAATGTTTTGTTTCCTGATGAATAAAACACCACTACCAAGTGCCAGGAAAATGTGTTAAACTGCCTTTTATTTGATTTAAACAACAATCAGATGTCCTTGTTAACAAAGCAGTTTGGAATGTGCCTGCATGTTGAACTCTGCTTCTGCCGTGAAAACAATCCACTCACATTCGTCGTGGTTCACTCTACATTGTCTGTGACTGTATGCGCATGTTCAGTGCTGACTTGTGTATTGTTAATGTCTGTTTCCCTTATGCAAGTCCTCCATGTTATTCCTCCCAGCTTCATTGTATCTACATGAAGGTATGACGAAACAAAAATATTGGTGTCTATGGAATTATAGTGCATATAACAATGACATGTAATCAGTGGAAAGTAAAACATCATTGAACTTAGTATCTCTTATCATGGTTCTCCTAAATAACAATTTGTATCTTGCTTTTATTTCTGTTGCTTTTTTCTATGATTTGATCTTAATGAAACTCAAGACACTAATCTATTTTTGGTCGTGGTTTCTTTCAGTACATGAAGTCCAGTATGGCTGATGGGAACACCACTGTTACCAATTACGGTACATCCATCGAGGGTGACGACGTGTAAGCCTGTATATGATGGAAACCCTATTATCAACAATTAGACCATAGGCCTACTGCACGTTTATCGAGGGTGAAGACGTGTAGGCCTATGCATGTTGGGAACCCAACAATCACCATTTAAACCCTAGGCCTACTGCACGTCCGTCGAGGGTGGCAACGTGTAGACACGTGGTAGCAACACTTCAAAATAACGTAACTGAGAGAAGAAATGAAATGTTAAATCAAGGTATCAAAACGTGCATTCTAAAGAAGACATTCTGAGTGAACGTAGTCATAGATTTATGTTTGTATTTGGGCTTTTCTGAGAAAAATTGCGAGATAAACCTAGTTAGTAAGGGTCTCTCTGTTCAGTTTTACTACAACTGTTAAACTTTCACAGGAATAACACATTTCGTTACTGATGAATAATACTTAGATTAATCTTACAATACCTTTGTTAAGCAGATTTAAGGTATATTACGTTTTGTGAATTTTAATAATAGATTAGGCTATTTGATAAGTTTTGAAGGGAATTAAACGAATTACATACCATATATATTTAGGTTGAAACATCTACTTCGTTGAACTTTTTATAAAAAAATATTTTTTAAAAGAATATTGGACTTGTGTGACCATTGCATATCAAGAATAGCAGTTACACAGAGTCCAAAGAGAACTTGCACCAATAGGTGATCTTCAATTAGACGTCAAAACAATGTAAAGTTGTAGTTCTCTTCTCAGCAGATTTCCTGCATTTAAGCCATTTGTAGAGGAATTAAAAAAAGTGATTCAGGATCATACTTTTGTATCTGTTGAATTCTAAATACATTGAAGAATCATCTTTAACAGTGTGAGTATATCCTAATATTTCTGAAAATATGTGTACATACTAATCTCTAACTTTTTTGAGAGCGTGTATATTCTAATCTCTTGGAAATTATGTATATACTTATTACCTTGATAGCGTTGTATGTGTGTGTGTGTGTGTGTGTGTGTGTGTGTGTCTGTCTGTATATACCTCATTCTAACCTTGTATATTCTAACCTTGTATATTCTACCCATGCTGTCTTTATTTTGAAATATTCAAATTTTTGTTAGTAAATAATTTAAAATATTTAATCACCTGTTGCCAAAAAATTTTTAATGTCATTTTCCTCGTAGGAATGAATCTTACTCCATATACACTTGCATATAGGCTTTCTCGAAGAAGAATTTATTTTTTATCTTGAATCACCTTCCTAACTTGCATTTATCTATCAGTATATTAGTCAAATAAATAAGAAAAGCATGGAAACTATGCAGTCAGTTCATTTGTTTTCAAACTTTTCTTGGTATTGCTTTAAATTTGTAAGTATCTTTGTCAGTATAGACCTGCAACGATCTCTGTCTATCAGCTAAGTCCTTTAAATATATAAATATATATATGTATATATATATATATATATATATATATAATATATATATATATATATATATATATATATATATATATATATATATATATACATATATATATATATATATATATATATATATATATATATATATATATATATATATATATATATATATATATATATATAATAGGGCAATCATTTTTCTTCCGGGGCAAACAGTGTATGAAATTGCATATAATCTTCTGCAAACATGAATATTACATACAGTTTCACTCGTGAAGTTATGTGATGAGATCTAAATATTTGCTGTGAGTTTCGCACCTGTTAACTGCAAACCATTCTTTTTAAAGTAAAGTGCTGTACTGTAAGAGATAATGCAATAAATACTAGCCCAGTCATCAAATTAATGCAGGTGTGTATATAAGTCATTTAATCATGGAAATTTATAATAAAAGTGTATGAGCTGTGTGATGCTTAAGGACAGCTTGGGGGTTTGAGACACTTTCTGGGATGTTTAAGGACAGCTTGGGGGTTTGAAACACTTTCTGGGATGTTTAAGGACAGCTTGGGGGTTTGAGACACTTTCTGGGATGTTTAAGGACAGCTTGGGGGTTTGAGACACTTTCTGGGATCTTAGAATGTAAAAACTTTAACGTCTGATAAATATGTTCATAATAATCTACAAAAGCATAACTCTGACTGTAAGGATATTACGATTTCATAATCTTAAAATACATGAGCTTAAATTAGTATTATATAGTGACAGAAAATACAGATGAAATGTGAAGCACAAGTGTTTGAAGAGTACATGTATGTACTCAGATAATTGGTTATCCCATAGATACTAGAGCGGCGTCTGCACCGTTGCTGACGAACCTGTTTCTTCATCGTGTACTTACAAGCTGACATCTGTATTAGTGTGTATTTACCATATGTTGTTATTCGTACACAATCAGTATATATATATATATATATATATATAATATATATATATATATATATATATATATATATATATATATATATATAAATATATATATATATATATATAACTGATGTATGTATTTTAGCTGATATGTACTGTACTACATTTCTCTTAAGCTTAACAAGACTGTACAGGCTATTGATGCTTGCAGTAGTGGCGTCAAAACAAAAGTCACTGCTGAGAGACTCGGTGACGTCTGTACCTTGTGTAAACAGTCACCCCGGCTATGTGCAGCATGATACGTGTACGAGTGTGTTTATCAATGCACCTGTGCGTGTAGAATATTTTTGATGACTGTCTCCTTGAAGTGCGGACACTTAATGTTTTCACTGCCTAACCAAGCACTTCTTTATGATGGCAATAGTATAATGAAAATTGATCGCGGAAACACAAAATACCCACAAGAAAACAGAAGAAAAACACAAGCCTCTATTGAATGCTGAGAAAGACAAGTCTCATTTCACCCTGTGTTTCTATTTCCTTGTGGGATTTTGTGTTTTGGTGAGTCACTTGGGGAGCTCTAAGCGTCCGTAGCGTGTATCATGCATACCTTAGCACCAGTTATTTCTAAAAATAAACAGGACAGGCTATAAAAGCAAAACTACACTTTTAAACAT